GAGAAGATATAAGGTGCGATATGAAACAAAGAAAAAAAAAAAAAAAAAAAAAAAAAAAAAAATTCTAGAAGGGGTAAGCAGAAGAGCGGGGTTCCATGGAAGCCCATTAAAAGCAGTGCAAGAAAACCTATGTGGACCAGGCACAAGTAAATGACAGGAAGAGTGAGGGGAGCTGAGTGCAGAGGCCCTGCCATAAAAGAACAATTTAGTGCTGACCTGGGTGTCCTGAATAGAAAAGCAGTCCAGGATAGGGAAAGAAGAGAGATGACACAGGCTTTGAAGGCTGGGTTTGAACAGGTATGACCTGGACTTGTTCATTCACTAACCAAGGGTGTGCTGATTCTGGCCCCACACAGGGAGAAGCCACAGCACTGACAGAGAGAGAAGATTCAGGTAGTTCCAGGGAGGGGGAGCAACAGGATCTCAAAGATAGGGTGTGTCAGGATGGACATCGGGGACCTAAGCCAAGTCCACAGTTCTGCACTTGCTCTTAGGTGGTTAGAGTTCTGGTTGGCACGAGCCTGAGAAATGCCAAGAAATGCCTAGAAATGGCAAGGTGCTGGAGAGAAGGGGCAGAGCATCTCTAGGTAAGAAAGGTGTTCACCTATGATGATGCTGAGGTCCCAGGGCCCGGCAAAGAGGCACACGTTAAAAAGGATGGATGAGGGGAGAAGCACACGAGCACAAGCAATGGGGAAACACTACAGAAAGGGAGGATGGCAGAAGAGGACTGAATCCCACCAAGGGAACACCCCGGGCTTCCCCTAAGTTTTAGAATGAAGGAGCAGAACTACAGCAAGTTCTTTCACAAAGTGCTTGAGCCAGTTATTGGCCTTATCCCACTAAGCTGTACTGTAAAATGCAGAGGCAGATGAAAAGCACATAACCTTTGAACGTGGAATGTCTCCGGGATGGGTAACGTTTACTGGGCTTCCTCTCGAAGGTGCTGGTTCTTCGTAACCTGGCGCCATGTGTAGCTTGATATTCTGTCCGCCCGCTGTGAAGCAAATATTTGATTGTATGTTAGCAATATCGGAATCTCAGCAAGTCACACCTACTTGGAACTGAATGTTTATTTTTCAAGAGCTCCTGCACACACTTTGCCCTAGCTTGAATTCAGCTGGTGAAGAGACACACTAAGCTTAAGCAATGTATTTGGAAATAAAATCTCCTTTGCCAAACCAGGTTACATTAAAGAGGTAGGTATTTCCACCAAAGGATAAACCTGCAATTTAAGGTCCAGCCACTTGGCTGCACAAACCAAGAGGTCTGAGTACTCAGAATATTTGACTAAAAGAACACTGATCAGCACACAAAATACCCTTTCACAGAACACACTTGAGTAGATGTTTAGCACATCTCTTCAGAGGCTGTTACCAATGGCCCCTTAAGTAAACCTTGGCTTTCCTTGCTACACCAAAGGAAATATTACTTATGTCGAAAGGCTTCCCAGCATTCAAACACTGTGACACTCAGCTGCAACTTCCAGGAGGAACTCTAGTCTTTGCTATCTACCCTCACTGCCGTTCCGGCGGCAGTGACTTACCAGATGCTACCTACTCTGAGTGCCACCAATGGGCAGCCTCATCTCCTTCCTCCGCCCTTCTAACTCTTCTCCTTGAAGAGCAGAGGACACCAGGTCTGGGTCAAATCTCAGGAGATTTCCTCACAGGAGGGAGATGGCTGCCTCAGCAACCGCCCTGCCCATCCTCCCCACCCCACATGGGTACCAGCAGACTGTGGAGCGGCTCCTCGAACCTCTGCAGCTCTGACATTTCCATCCTTTGGGAGCCCTGTGATTCAACTCTTTTTCAAAAAGACTTGGTCTCCCCCACCCCTCGGAGCATTTAAAAATACATTCAAACAAAATACTTCTTTAAACAGAAGTGCACAGCCTTCCCCTTGCACTGTAGATGTATTTGAAATGAGCAAATCTTTTGGCATTTTAAACAGAGTTCAGGGACATGCCATGTGTGGGCAGAGGTTACGAAACCATGGGAAGTTTCATCTGTCGTAACCAAGATTCTCAGACCTGTATGTGTGCTTCAAAAACTGACTCTTGGAGTAGGCTTAAAATGTACATTTCCAGGCCTCAAACATGCTCAGAGTGATTACCAAGGCCTCACATGAGGCCTTACAGGCTCATTTTTAGAAAACACCCAGGAGATTTTCAACATGGCCATAAAATGGTAAGAAAAAACATCCAAATAAGCTATCTTTTCAGATTCAAGTACAGTATTTATTGAGCCTGCCGTGGGACAGACAGACAGACAGACACAGACACAGACACAGACACACACACACACACACACACACCTGCTCATTCTTATTTGACATCAAATTTCTTAACACTGAAGTGGAAAAATAAATATAGTAGTGACCAGAAATATTAAGAGCCAGGGCCAGGGATTTAGTTGAGTGGTGTCACCGCCTGCATTGCAAGAGCAAGGTTCTGAGTTTGATCCCTGGCACCAAAAACAAAAACAAAGAAATATAAGAGCCAGACTCTTGGGCTGAATCTCGATCTCTGCACTACCACTTACTGGCTGTGTGTAAGCTTGAGCTTTAGTTTCTGAGTCTGAAAAACGGAGCTAATCAATCTAGTTTATTAAGGCTGCTTCAGGGATTAAGAGTGGGTACATAGTAGAGTTCTAGGGCAGTGCTCTACAACAGAACTTTCCATAATAATGCTATGTACTCTGTCAGCCCTTCCCAACAGGTAGCCACTACCCTTGTGAGACCAAGGAACTACAGTTTTAAATTATTAAATATTCATTAATTTGGATTATAGCTACATGTAGCTAGTGGATATTGTACTGCAAAGCATAGCTCTAGCTTCAGGTCAGCCATAAATAATGTTTTTATTACAGAATGAGCATCCCTAATCCAAAAATTCAAAATCTAAAATGGTCCCAAATCCAAACTGTTTGGGAGCCAACACTCAAGTATCTGCAGCATCCAATATCAACCATGCAAGTATGCCAAAACGTGAAAAACTGTAAAATCTGTAATACTTCTGGTCCCAAATGTTTGGGATTGGGATTCTCATTCTGTATTAGTTCCATTTTATCGATAAGAATATGGGAGTCAAAAGAGCTCAAGTGGCTTGCCTGAGGGTCAGATCTTAAGAAAGAAGTGGGGATGGGGCACACAACCCAAATCTCTCCACTTAAATCCACTGCTCCAGCTCTCCCGGAGGCGGGGAGCAGCTATCTGTCTTGGAAACACCACCACCCACCTGAACCTGAAGCGGGAGCCCAGGCGGATGAAGTCGGATCTGCTGGCCTTCCCGTTGCCCGGCATGCGCAGGCGGAAGAAGGCGTGGTGCTCCACCGCACACTTCCACAGGTGCTTGCAGGTGCGGGCGCTGTCCAGCCGGAACACAAAGGTGTGCTCTTGCTCACGCCCCTGAGAGAGGAAGCAAAGGTCCTCGTCGGGGCATCCGTCACTCTGATGCGGGCTTATTCACAGCAGGAAGGGCGAACGGAAACAAAGCCTACCTGGTCATCATCCTCCACCACCACAAGGGTCAGTTTGCTCTTTTTAAAATCCATTTTGGTAATTTTAGGCCTGGTCAGAGAGAAAGTATTTTAAAAAGCACAGCCTGAAGTAAAAGAACCCACACATCAAACAGCAGTTTCTTTTCTACTTTTAAAGCTCAGATTGGCTAAGAAAAAAAAATCATTCATTCATTTAAATGTGATTATTCAGAAGTTTCAGTGTAATTGCCACAAACCCACAATGACAATAGGAAGGTGTGATTTTAAAACAAATCTGGGTGTTGCAAGGATCCCTTAATAACCATCCATCACATAGACTTCCACCACAAAATAGGAAAAGACATTTTTAATAGCAGACAAAACTAAATTACCAAAAGAATAAGCCTATTTTGTTAGCTCCTTCAAAGATTAATATGCCTGTCGGGGTCAGTCCAAGAGAATATTCACAGCCATCTCTTCCCTACAAACAAACGAAGTGACAATCGGTAGAAGGTTCTAACAGGTCGTCACAGAGCAGAACGTAAAACAGTTTCCTCACCATAAGTTACTTAGTTGGCATAAGGTCTACATATTTTTTTAGTAATAAAAATCAAATTACTTAAACATACAAAGTTCTTACCCTGACAACGTGCATGTCTACCCCATACATTTCCAGCCACTTTGCTTTATTCAGATAGGAGAGTTCCGCCTGGGCAGGGCTCTTTCCCCTTTGAAAAACCAATGGAAACACATGTGAACCAGGATGTGGACACCCACAGGGCATGCTTGGACTTTGGCAGTTCTATGACGACTACAGCAATGAGGGAGTGCAGGTTTATACTGACAGGGAAAGGCCTCTAATAATGTATAGTGGATCCTTGACTTATGAACTCAACTCATTCCTGAGGGCTGGTTGTAACTCAAGTTGGTCAACTGAAGGCTCAGCCTCCTCTGCACAGACTTCAAAGTCTCTCTTCTGTGTACAGGCAGATCTCAGTGTCCTTAGACACTGGCCCAGGACTGCTCAATTAACTCCATACAGGAAAGGATGATGTAATGTTCCTTCCAGACTCTTTAAGGGTTAAACCTGTATGTGAGACCATCTGAAAGCACAAGTGGCCGGCATTCGGGTCATAACTCAAGGCTGTGGTTTTAAGTTAAAACTAAAGTTCCAGTTGTAACCAAAGTTGTTTATATGTCAGGCCAGTCATAACTTGAGAGTCCACTGTACAGTATTGCTAATGAATAAGAAGATCACAGAAAACGGCTCATAATAGACCACTTATGGGAACAGTACTGTTATATATATGTAGAGTGGATACACAACAGACCACTACCAACAGCATCCAGCAGGGAAGAGAGAGGTCTGTGTGAGTGGGATGGGAAGACTGTACAGCAACACATTTCCATAAGGATGTATTCATGTCACCTTTCATTAAAAAAGTCATAGGGGCTTTTCAGAAGGACTGGGGGACAATTGAGGCCATGCTAAGCTCCAGGTCCAAGAGTGACTCAGGATGAGTGGTGTTTTAAGAAGAGGGGACAGGAGGGAAGAAGGCAACCTCTGGGAAACTGGAGTGAGAGGCCGTGCTGACAGTCCAGGCTTAAAAGCCTTAGATCAGGGTGGTGACCATAGAGGGAAACCAAGGAGATCAATGGTATGGCTGGCTTTCCACAAGATGACCACACTGCCTGAGATACAATGCTGCACAGCGTGTGGTTTCAACTGTGAGTGTTCTTATACAACAGGGTTACAGGCTGAACACCCTTTACCCGAAATGCTTGGGACCAGAGTGCTTCTGATTTCAGTTATTTTTCAGATTTGGGAATACCTGCATAAAAGATAATGAGATCTCTTGGGGATGGGATCCAAGTCCCAAATGAAATTTAATTCTGTTTCACATATACCTTATACACATAGCCCAATGGTATTTTTATACCCTATTGTTATTGATCCTGCATTTTAACTGCAACTTGTCCCATAAAGTCAGGTGTGGAATTTTCCAATGTTTCATTAAGTTGGCATTCAAAAAGTTTCACATTTTGGATTTGGGGTTTTCAGATTAGGGATGTTCCACCTGTATTTCTAAAAGATTTATTCTTTAAGGTTCAGGACAGGGTTCCCAGAAACCAAGGGTGTAGGTGCTCACTGCTCACACCCAGGGTGTTACCTGTGCTGTGGCAGCAACAAGCAAATCGGACTGAGGTTTTGTATTTCAGAGAGAGAGAAAAGAATGTGGTTTGGCTCTTGCGGCACATCCCTCATAAGAGATAGCATGTGGGCATTTGGGAGAATAAGAGGGAAACACAGGAAAGAAGGGATGAGATGAAGATGCAGCTTTATAGCCACTAGCTAAGCAACTCTAAGTAAACAAAAGAATCTGACAAACACACAGGACAAAACAGATATAGATCAGAATGCTAGGTGGTCACATCAAAGTACCTGCACTCTTTCCATCTCTGGAAGATATCAAATTCCATTGCTTCTGTCTGATTTGGAATGAACCGAAACTCAGACACAAGCTCTGGTGTGTGTTCTGGAAGTTCACACTCCCCAAGCTCCGCTGCATGTTCCATAAAAGACAGGAAAACAGGAGACACTGAGCACTTTCAGTTATTGCTGTAACTGAGCCCAAAGGCATTTTGCATGATTATAAAGCACAGGTACCCCCTGATGTACAACTCTCTCCTTTCTGGAGGACCGAACTCTCACTTGGTAGCCATATGTACTCTCAAAATCCCCAAGAATCATTTTAATGCCCTCCCCACTGTGTGATACACCATCATCTTAGTTATTACTGTCTTTCTCCCAACCATTTCTCCCACCCAGTGAGGCCCAATTACATTTTCCTGGAGAAGTGGTAGAGCCTCGCATTTGCAATAAAGAGGAACTGCTGAGAATGAGGATCTGCCCAGAAACACCCATGGCAGCAGGCTCTCATTAGGGCAGGTCAGAGCAGTACTTCAGGAGCTGCAGTGTTGGAGAGGCTGGATCAAGAATTCGGTACATGCAGAATCCAGGGGAAAAGCA